CCGTCACGTTTGCTCTTAAAGAAGATGCACAAAAATTGAAAGAACCATGCCATTGTAAAATTTCGATAAAAGGTAAATTACTTAAATGTAGAATTTTTCCAGAAGAATGGAAGGAAGGATGGAAGGAAAGTAAAGTACATGTCTTATTTTTAGTAGATTCTAAATCTACTCAGAGGGATAGAAATAGAGTTGTTGGTGGTTTATCGAGAAGAACATGATTTTATTTTGATACAATAGCGAAAGGGCGTAAATGAAAGTACTAAATAGATAAATGAAAATCATAAACATATAAGTTAGCTTGAAGTGGCTTGTGTTTATATTTCTTTCAATTGAAATGAATAATTTTGTTTTTATCTTGTGTATATACATTTTTTTTATGTAGGTAAAATACGTACTTATTTTTAATAAAAATAAACACCTTAAGGTTTTAAAATTATACATTCACATAGATTGTTCGAGACAGCTAAATAAATAATGTATTAGGTTTTATTATGTTTAAAATACTAATCACAAAGCATGTGTGTTTTGTCCAATTCCATTGCTTTTTGCGTTCCAACAAAAATAAGTTGCTGATAAAACAACGGAGGAATAAACGGACTGACATGCGCAGTGATTCGTTTACAAATGCGTCCATGCACGATTCGGAGACATATCAGAATAGAACTGTTTGAACAAACCTATGACAAAATATTACGTATTAATTCATTTATGGCAGGTTTCCGGTACATTTCGTTATTGAAAGAATAAGTATCGGTCCGATAAACTTATGTGTCCAATAAATAATAAATAATTTCTGAGAACTTATCAGTAGATAACTATCGGAGATAACTAGGTTTGACATATTCTAATTAGATGGGCTTTATCCATTTAACATCGTGTTGTCTTTTTTAATTATCGGAAAATGGAAGGCGAATTTTCTGAAACTTCCAGAAACTTTACAGATGTCGCTAAAATATGTTATTCAAGATGGTTATTAAGCACAGATGTCATTAAAAATAAAAAATACCGTTGGTACAAGTGTGAAAGAGAAAAATTCTCGTATGTTTTGTTAATTAGCTCAACCATGTATGTTTAGTAAATCTAAGACAGTTCCTATATTCTTCAAAAAGATAATTTCTAACGCGAAAATGGCGAACGATGTCTATAATTTCTAATAGGTATTGCCTCATCGAGGAGCTTAAATTATACATTTTAAGTTTATTTATTCTTTTCCTGATATTTGAGAAACAATAATATATTATCTGTATAAGAATTGTCAAATTATGATCTGCTAACTGGAATGTGTCAGATAAGTACTTATTAAATAAATAGCTCACCAAAATGGCAAGATATCTATTTGATGACTTATAAAACGAATAACTCTTGTTGTGCGTTTCAGAAACCAAATTTGTCTAGTTATCCCTTTGTTAAGACCATCGAACACATATCTACTGTTTCAGAAACCGGCCATTAGTCATTTTGTAAAACCCGTATCTCCCAATACCGTTTACATAAAGTCGGAAAGACCCTTAAGTCCCTTTAAATAATTATTTATAAAAATAGTTAATAAATAAGGTGTACGGATTTATTTAAAATATTTTTCCTACGACCACTTAGGAAAGTGACACATATAACACTATATGGAAAGTGCCCTATATCACACGCGTATGAATAAGAATTTACTTTCCACCCGAGTGAGAATATGTTACTTTCCGCAGCAGCTGTCATAAAATGTCAAACCCATAATTTCTATTTTGATCGATGTAATGTCCATATTAATACTAAAATCGATATGATTGTTAAATTATTGAAATTGTTGTAAATTAGATCCTAGATATTTATCTTTAACAATTATTATTAAAATAATTTTAAAATAACTAAGATTATGTTTGCTTTTTATTCTGGTTAAACATATAACCGATTAGATCATTCAATTGACAAAAGGCCTGTTAGCTCAGTTGGTTAGAGCATCAAATTTGCCATTTGAGAGACGTGGCGAACGACCGCGTTCGAATCCTGGCGAGGCCAGAACTTTTTTTTGTTTTTTTTTTATTTTTTTTTGTTTATTTTTTTTTTTTGTTTAAAAAATATGAAAATTGAATAAATACGATTGTTGTTGATTATTTTTTTAAATACATTTTTATTATTATAATAACCTGGTTTTACATTTTTTGATGAAAATATTTTGTGGTCGTAGGAAAAATATTGTACATCACTTGTGTGAAAAGTGATTTTCCACACTCGTGTGATAGTCGCACTCGGCTTGTGCCTCGTGCGACAATATTTCCCACTCGTGTGAAAAATGTCACTTTCCACACTCGTAATGTAATATACTATTCTATATATGTGCGTAAATACCTACCTGTTACCATAATTTACCATAAGGTTTTTAGAGCCTGCTGTAAAGTTTCATTTTATTGACTTAAGACTTACAGGTATTTCTGATTAAGCCGACAATATACAATAAAAGAAAAACAATTAACAACTGTTAAACATAAACATCTCCATAACTCACTTCTGTCATTATTTAAATGGATCTTTAAAATACATTAGAGGACTATCTTAAATAAATCTGTTTAAATAATGACAGAAGTAAATTAACGAATACGAATTAATTTTTAAAGGCCGCCAATATTTTTAAAGGCCGTTAAATATAAAGGAATTGTTACAGAATAGACCCCTAAGTAGTTTAAGAATATATTTACAAAAACATAGGTATTTTGTTTGTGTTACATTTACTTACTCCCTTTGTAGCTTTTATTGATTTTAATTTATACAAATAGAAATTGCTTATTTTGTGAACAATCCTTTAAAATAAAGTATTTATTCTATTGTAACATTCTATGCCTAGTCGCCATTCTTTACGCCAAGTGACCAAAAGAGACCGTAGAACAAGTTCATATGTTTTAACGATTTGTTCCTTTCCTTGCTATTTATCGGTCTTAAAAGTTTTCGGGAAAACGTACCAGTCGGAAAATCGTCCCTGTCGTGAAAGTGAGTTATCGAGCTACAGTTCATCAAATTTCTAGAGGCTTTCGACGGCTAGACAGAGAAAGTACTACTGACAGGCATCCCGACGGATTTACGCAATGAAAGTACACTCTGCGCATCAAGTATTTCACTATTTCATTCAGAGGTAAATGTCAGATGTAAATTTCGCTAAAACATTTCTTTTATTTTCGTTTGTGTTTTTTGCTCATTACAGTTTAATAGAACCTAAGTATGGAGTTTAATAGCAAATTAAGAGGCCGCGTGATTAACAGTCAATCTCGCGAAATAATAGCCAATGTTATAGAGTTTATGAGAAGAGAAGGAAACTTTAATTCACCTTCAATACCATTTAAAAATGTAAATGATCGTGTTGCTGCAGCCACAGGAGTATCTAAAAACACTGTCGTCCGCATTTCTGGAGAGATGAAGCTGCACAAGAATCAAATTTTATTTTTTTATTATTAGATAGCTATTTTTGTTTCTGAGTTGTGTTCATTTACAGGCTCAATTTTTTTCCGTTTCTCCTTTTTGATTTTATATGGGGTTTCAAGTTGTTTTTGACTTATTTCGACGTAAATCACAACAACACACTTTTTTAATAAAGCAAACAAGTGTTAAGAGGTATATGTACGTGTAAACTACAATTACAAAAAATTGATATGAAACCCATGAAACCACCAACAAAAATTTAAAGCTAGCTTCCGTACTAGAACATGGTGCCATTCGTCGAGATAATTTATCGTTTTGTTTAATAGATCAAGAAATGTAAATATTCCCCTGTTATTTTTTATAAAATTATAAGAGAAATAAATTTTTTTCTAAATAGTATAGTTTATTACTTTGTAGAAAAACAAAATTTCGAAAATTTTAGTAATGTTTCAGAAACAACCGTTATTAATAATAGGTACCATTTTCCTTAATAAGGTAGAAATAAAATATAAACTATTTCCACGATTTACAAAGGCCTACAAAAAAATTATAGGTATTTTCCGCTATCCTATAAAATTTATATTTTCTGACTCAATTTCAAAAGGTTGAAAGAATTCCAAAACACCTTTTATGGCATAATAATTATTTTCAATTCTACATACTATCTTTAGCTGCTTTTAAAAACGTTCTAAGAAAGTCCAATCAGACCAATTTAATCCCTAAACTATTCCACACTTTTAAAATTTAATTACCTAAAAATATTAAAAACTATTTAAAATAACTTGTTTAGCAGACTGTACAATAGCTATCTTAGTCACACGTAGCGCGTTCTCTGTCTGGGCGTCGAACACCTCTAGAAATTTGATGAACTGTACTAAGTGTCCGAAATTTAATGTCGGGCAAATGTACAAGACCTTATAACTATCCCTACTTATACAGATTTTCCTTTAGAGTAGCATATTAAAATACCTATTGTTAGATAAAAAAATATAAACTAATCATAGGGTAAAGAAGAGTCAAAATAATAATAATTGTAAGCTATATCAACTGACTTCAGAAAACAAAGCGTGAGAGGCTGGTATTTATTACTCAAATAAAAAATAAATGGCTAGATAATGAATAAATCAACTCTACTGTAACACCGCAACACACATTACACCTTCTACAAAGAATTATAATAAGAAGTAATTGAGTAATATTTTCTTTTAAACTTCATTTTATTATCTAACACTACCATAAAACATAAATAATCTATTTCAGCAATAAGCTTACTTAATAATTTAGCCTTCCAAATTATAATTAGCAAATTAATTTACTGTTTCTTCTAGATGAAATGTTTTCTGAAGATTATTACTTTATTGATAAAAATACAATATTAATGACATCTCCTGATAACCTCAAAGATGCTAAGTTTAAAATGTATGGAAAAATCAAGCATGTGTATTTGTAACTACGCAGGGGGTACTATTTCACAACAAATAAATTGTTGATGAAGATATCACGTGACTTATATAAACCAATACATTTAAAAATTAGAATTTCTGGTTAATTCTATAAAATAGTACCTCCTACCTACCTAGTTTTTGAATTAAAAATATTACCTGTGCATACTGTGATATTCCTATAATTCCTACTTTTCCTGAAACTTCCACCCATTCATGTTTATCAGTGTATAATCGGTCTAAAAATTTAAATTATTTTAAAGATAGGTACATTAAATTAGAACTTGCTGTGATTGTTAACACACCTGCGAATGCACAATTTGACAGGTGAAAATATCGTGGAATAACTTTGCAAGAATTATAATTTAATGGACCAGATTTCACTAAATTAAAAGCACTAGCAAACACACGAGGTAGAGCCATTATCAACAAAATTCTATTATGAATGAATGTCCAACCAAGATAAATAATTTCTATCTCAACTCTCAACAAATAAATATTGTTGGTTAAGAATTAAGCAATTGACGTTGACACTGATGACATCTACATGAGATTTGTCTTACTTCATACTTTTTGATACATGTTTTATTATTTCACAGTTTCGACTTAATTTTAGTTAAAGGTAATTGGTATAATCTGAAGTAATCTGGATTAAGATATAGTTTTTAATATATTATTTAATCAAAGGTAGGTACTTTCTAAAGCGATAAATAATTAGAAATTAATAACGCCATGTTTAGTCCAATTATTTTTTTTAAATATGTAAAGCATTTTAGTGTTTTTTTTAGTAAAATATTATGCAGTATTATAATTATAAATGAATTTACAGACCAATATTCTTATCTAGTTTCTATTTTATACAAAGACAATTCAAATAATAATGAACAATGTGCGACATCTGTGAAGTGAATGAACAACTATAATAAAACATGAATTTTATTTTTAATTTTTATAGTAGATTTCTTATTTATTTTTATAGAATAATTTTTGTCTGGTCATAGATGGGAGTACGTGTATTAAAAATTTAAACATAGACAGAGGCGTAGCCTGATAGATTGGGGCCCTGAAAAATAAATCATAAAGATAAGTTAATTATTAAAACTTTCTTCGTGTAAAAAACTAATACACTCCAAGCGTGAATGTATGTAATTATTCTTATGCGCGCGATGTTAAAACTATACATTATAAATTACTTTTATTTTTATGATACAAAAACTACCTAGCTAGTTATATTTTTTTTGTTTGAAAATCACCTTTATTATGTAATTTCTGTAAGGTGGGCGAGGGTCGTTTGCTCCACAGCACTTAGGCTTCATTAGATTCATTGTGCATCCTCCAGAAGCATATAGGACCTGCTTTTCAACTCGAAAAAACCTTGCTGATGGCCATTGAGAGGTGTCTAGAGACAGCTGTCTTTCCATCTCTTGAAAGTTCTGTTGGTGGTCGCTGGGGGGTTCTAGGTGTAGCCAACCTTTCAGGTCAAAGTCCTGCAGGTTAATAACGTTGCCGGGAGGTATCTCTATGTCCTATTTTTAGAAGTGGCCATTTGGTGGGCTTTTACCAATCCGATGGTAATTGACCGGGTGACTATTCTGTTCGACCGCTCCACATAGCAATTTTTTTATTATTTTATGAGCTGTCACATTATTTTAACATTCAGTTGTTCTCGTTGCCTCTGGATTACTGTTGATAAAAGTTAATAAAGGTATTTTTAAGTCTATTTAAAAACAAAAGAGAACGTAAAAGTAAGAAGGATATCCATATGTTAAATGTGGTCTCAAATTGTACTGGGTATACATCGCATATACAATGAATATGTTTTATGGAATAAATAATAGCTCTGAAAATATTTATCGTATCAATGGGCTTCGTTCCCTCATAGAGCTTGATTTTTTATCAATATAATTTTTCGTTTTTGACTTTTCGTTCGAAAAAAAAAACATGACATCGGACGGAAGGACGCGCTGACATTTTTAAGAGTTGTATAAAATTTAATGAGAAAGACTTCAAAAGAAAAAAAATTTTAATTTGGACACGCAGATTAAAAATTTTCATCTGCACCCGCAAAGGCCTCAGGTGCCCACTTTTTTGCATTCCCTGCACAATTAACCTTTCCTCTTTTATACTTTTGCTGTATAATTCACAGCAGAACCTACAGGGGCAATCATCTTTACTCCCACTTCCCGTTTCAACTGACTTTCCATATTTTTCTCTTTCTCTTTTGATGCTTTTTTTCAGTCTGTAAGTGCTCCGGCATGTCAGTTTTGCGTTTCACTTTCTTAAAATCGCGTTTTTCTCCTTCAAAGCGTTTTTTTCCAGTATGCTTTTTAAAATTACAGGCGTTTTATTCTCACTCTACCTTGCGTTGTTTGTCCTTTATATTTAGAAACAAACAGTTAATAGTGTCTTTAAAAGATTTATATGCTTCTAAATGTTCTATCTAGGCTCTTCATTACCAGTATTTTAGGTTTTTGGAGTCTAATACCATACTCAAAATTCAAGGTCAAGACATCGAGGCTAAAAATAAAATACTTAGGGTTCTATCTGGATAGGAGATTAACGTTCCACAAACATATCTCGGATCGTGTAACAAAGGCTAAAGGCATGATCCGAACTCTATACCCCATGCTTGCAAAAAATAGCAAAGTCTCGAGGAGCAGTAAAATTCTATTATATAAACAAATAATTAGATCTATCCTAACGTATGGATGTCCAATCTTCTGCTCAATGGCACAGATTCATTTTAAAAAATTACAAGTAATACAAAAGAGGTGTCTGAGGCTCATCCTGGGATGCAGAAGGTTTACCAGGATAACCGACATGCACGAACACACCAGTATGCTTCCTATTAATTAATATATATATATTTAAAATCTCAGAGAAGTTTTACAAAAACTGTCTTCTTCGTCAACATATTCAATATCAACGTCGGAAAGAGTGCAAATAGGAAGCATACCTGGCTCCACGAAGGACTTTCCATTTACAGACAGTAACAAAATACAAAAATAAAGCAAACAAAAGCAGACAACTTTGCATGTAAAGTTACTAAAACTGCACTGCTCAAAACGACATGGGTAACTATACTAAGTCGGCGAATACTGAACGCTGGTGGACGGGGCGTCGAATCGGTGACTGCCATTGGCTATCTCCGATTCGATGGACGGCCAATCAGTGTTCAGGACGTGAGTAGTGCATACAAACTACACAATCTACAACATACAAACGCACATCGTTAAAACCCTGTTTTTTCAATAGCTTTTTCAGGGAAAGCAGACATAATTAAATTCAGATATAACTTTCACTGTTAACACCCACCGCTCTTAGCACAAACAACAATAATAGTCCAATAATACCACTTGGTAAGGAGTCGACTCACAAACATCAAGATGACTAGTATCCATGGAAATACAACGGCATAACATCAGCCAATAGCCGCCCAGGATGTCCTAGGAGGTGTGAAGAATATCTCTTCGCTTAAATATTATATATTGTATTTCTGTAGATTAACATTGTAAATAGTTAACAGTTAATAAAGATTTTTAAAATAAAGTAAAAGTAACTTGTGAACGGGATTTTAAATCATTTTCGCTTTCTGCTTCAGCAGCTATTTTTTTCCAATCTCATTAAGTTCTTCTTTTTGACAATCAGTTCTTATAACTTGCACTTTACCATTAGATACTTTTTCAATTTTTGGGCTTAGCTCTTTCTTCTTGCAGTAGAATATAGACCTCAGCGGCCACACACGTCAGTGTTGTAAGGATATATCCCGCTGCTTTGAAGTACGTTGATGACCTTTTTCATAGTAGCTCCTTTTGCAAATGCCTTACAAGATAATTCTACGGATTCTTACATGGTAATTTTTTTCCGGGATAAGATGATAGTAAATGGCCACATTTGCCACACAACTTCTTTAATAGTAAAAAAGAAAAACATAAATCCAGAGTTTGCGGTAGATGGCTGCTTTGTCAACATAGTAATGTGATTGTCACGAGCTTTAAGAACTGAATTCATGGCTACTGTGGCCATTTAGGGTGCGATAAAAATGATCTAGATACAGTAAGAAGTGTTTAGCATCCACACATTCACCCTAAAGAGTTGGAAACACTCACTGCCCCAAGACTTTAACAGTGGTGACATCCGTTTACGTGGAAACAAGAAATGTAATTACCCGAAGTAAAAACAGAGCTGCCATTGTTATATTGGAACCCCGTTCTCCGCTAACAATTTTTCCAATTTGTTTTTGGACCTTTCTGGTCATAATTTTAAAAGGTTTACGAACTGTAAGTATTCCGATTTCATCATAGTTGTATATATTTTCACTTGGTGTTAAAAATAGTATATTACGTAACAAGAGTTGTAAGTAACCCATTACGCACGAAGTAAAAAAGTTTCACGAGTGCGTAATGGGCTTACAACTCGTGTAACGTACTATATTTTTTCTACGCCCACATAAAACATTTTCAAAAAGGATTTAACGTTATGCCTGTGTTGCCAATCCATAAAATTTCGATAGGTAATTTCGTACCTTTCTTTGGATTTTCGCGGTAAAAATATGTGTGGTAGCTTTAGCTTTTTCTAAAATCTCTGGTGGAGTGCTCATAATTTTATCACTTTCACTGCTAACAAACATATTCGTAGGTACAGTTGAGAAAATGTTCGGATACAATCATATTTTGTTACAAAAATTGACAATATAAATGGCATGACGTTTATTTCCATAGCATGCTAAGAAAACGAGGCATAATATTTTAAAAATTGTATAATATATGCTGCCTACATTTAGGAGTAGCATTTTTTAATCCAAAATGTATCTCGCTAATGCTAAAAGTTTTTGTTTTTTAAATGACTAAATTTATGTAAATAGACTAAATAAATACGTACGTAGACAAAAATTTGATTGCAATTTGATTAAACCAAGAAATTTAAGTTTTCTTATCAAAACGCACGTGTATGTTATGAGATCTCATTACGTGCAAGTTTTTGTTAAATGTCATTTACAAGGAATGCTGATAGTGCGATTTTTAATGTTTACTGACATGGGCGTAGAAAAAACAACTTACTTCGAAAATAAATGAATAAATAAGCCGCACTATTTCATATCTTTTCGCAAACTATCCGTAAACTGTAGGTATATGTGGATATGCCATACAAGCCGGTGGCGTACTATTGTTTATTTGAAAATAAATCATAGCAAAATTTTTATGATCCAGGAGATAAACCTCAATATAAATCATAAACCAGTGACGGAAAATTTCTAAAATAAAATGTTAAGCATGATTTGTTCCAAAATAAAATGTTTGTTTTATTTTCCTAAAATTTTTAAAAATACCAATTTATTTCATTTCTTGTCTTATATGTTATAGTTATTTTAATCAACAAAACTAAGGTAAGTATTTAATCTCTACAGGTAGGAAATATTTACAATTTAAGATCAATTTAAGTAGCCCTCAACTTAGAAAGGATTAAAATTTCTAATCGGCAGAAGGTGATGCAGATTGTGAATTATTTTAGTTAAGACTTACATTTCTGTTTGTTTAGTCCTGTGATTTGAACTGTTAG